AGAAAGGGGGATAATGTATTTTCCAAAGAAGCAGAATGCAAACAAGAAGCAATGGATGGAAACTGAACAGAGAGAAGAAACCTAAAACCAAGGAGAAACTTCCTGACAGTGAGAACAATTAACCAGTGGAACTGTCTGTCTCCAGAAGTTCTGGGTGCTCAATCACTGGAAGTTTTTAAGAAAAGACTGGATAGCCATTTCTCTGAAATGGTATAGGGTTCACCCCAAGGTCCCTTCTAAGTATTATTCTGACACCTTTCCCAGGATTTCTACTCAGAGTTTGGCATCCTCAGTTTTCTTGTCTGAGCTGGGGGTTGGACTAGAAGACCTCCAAGGTCCCTTTCAATTATTTTTAATTGTTCCATTATTTATCATTTGTTAATATTTTACACTGCCCCCTACACCTAGAGTGATTTTTCTGCCTTTCTTTTGCCAGGGCTACCACATATTTTTCAGGGTTTACATGCATTCAATATCAATAGTCCAGAGCATAAAATACACATGTGTTTAACAAGAGTTGAAAGGGACCTTGGAGGTCTTCTAGATCAGAAGATCACCTCCAATTGTCTGTCATCTTGAAGGACAGGACAGAACAAACTTTAAGTTACAGGAAAGAAGACTGGTTGAAGGTCAGGAAAACTTTTCCTAACAGTCTAACCAGATTGACAGTGGAACAAATTATCTAGAGAGAAGTTAAGTTCTCCTTCACTGAATGTGCCAAAGCAGAAGCCAGATAGCCATCTGCCATTAATTTCTGCATGGATCAGAGGTTTGGCAAGTCTGGGTGTCTCCTTCTAATTCTAATTTCCACATAAAATCCTTCAACAGGTCAGAAAAGAGTTTCTGTCCTTTTTTATTTTAGCTTTTTTTCATGAGTTAAGCCAATGCATTTGTGTCCCACCAGAAACATATACAAGAAACAAAAATGCAGAAAGAGAATAGTAGTAACAGTAACAGTCTTTCCTTTTTTATGGAAAGGAGAGGTGAGATTTTTGTTACTTTGGAATCAATGATAGTTTGGAATGTTTCAAACAAGCAAATTCTATTCTTTCTATTCTATTCCTAATAAGCAGCTGGAGGGGAAACTGATGGGCTGGTAGTGGTTTTTTTGCTTGTTCTCAGAATTTTTAGCCCAGGATAAAGATGATCATACGTAAGTTTCGAAACTGCTTTTGAGAGATTAGGAAGTAAAAATAGGAATGGCAATGGTGTGCAACTAAGAGTCAGAAGGATTGATTCTGCTGTAGTGTTGAATATCAGATACTCATGGTACTTGAGTCTTTACTGTGTCATTCCTGATGATGGCAGATAGTTTTATCTATCTAGATAAACTGGTGGAGAGGAAAGGGAGAGGAGAGGAGACTCAAATCTTCAGTACATCCTCATCTGATAATGCCAGACTTATTGAAAATTATCCCAATATCTTTCTACTTCATATCCTGCAATCCTCCCTATAAACACAGAATACTAGGATCTGTTCAATTTCATATTTCGTACTAGGCCTTGAAGGGTCAGCCAAACCAATCCCAGTAATAGCTAAAGTCTTGCTATTATAGTAAGACGGTTTGAATGAAATCAGTAAGAATATAAAACTGATATACAGGGGTGTTATCTGGCAGCAGATCTTCTGAGTCAGCAATGTCATCTATAGGAATAAAGTAATATTGTATTTTACTGCTTGGGGATTTTGTTTTATCAGCTAAGTTTTATTATTATTATTGTTTTCTCTCATAAGTTAACCCAGAGTACATTCTATTTTTGTGAAATCTACAAATAACACAGCTAACTTACCCCAAATAGTAAATATATATACTATATAAATAGAATATACTGTATTTTGATTTATTCTGCTTAGGGAGGTTTAGGAATGTGTAAATGTGAGATTCTCCATTCCCTCCATCAAAATTCCTCCACGTTACAAATTTCTGAGCTGTATTTATTTTATGTAATCATAAACCTACCCAATCAACCTGTTATTATGTTTCAGCTCTTCCTCACAGACATGATGAGGCTGGAGGGAGGGAAATCAACCCACCGAGACATAGGCAAACATAACTAAAATGATAATGTGGTCTCTTACTCATCCCCAGTTCACAATTAAGGCAGCCTTGCTCCCTTTCTTGCTCTGCTTCGAAAGTAACATTTTCTAGGTGTCTGTGGAGATTCTCAGTCATCCAGGTCATGGTTGTCACAAAGGTGGTTTTTCAAAAGGCAATAGGACTTTCTTTGTTTTCTCTTTAAGACTTTTCACTTCTCATCCTAGAAGCTTCATCGGTTCTGGCCATGGATGAGAAGGGAAACATCTTCAAGGAAAACCAAAGAAAGTCCAATTACCTTTTGGAAAACCACCTTTGAGACTAGCATTTTTCTAGTGTTTTCCAGTACAAGCCATGCTATCTAGCCCATTTGAATATTACATGCTGAAATAAGATTAGGACAAGTTATATCAAAGGAGATATTCCAATCCTGTGTTCTCTCCACACTTATGTGGCCAGAACCCCTATTATATTTTATTGCCAAAACAGAATAGGATCTGTTATGTGGCCAAGACTTCTTTAAGCTGGTATGTCTTTTAAATACAGGAACTCAAGATAGTGTACACAGTGCTTCCTTTTTCTAATTTTTGTTACAGTAACAATCCTGTGTTGTAGATTGGACTGAGAGAGAATAACAGGCTCCAAAGCTTGGTTCCTTGAACTAGAACCTGAATCTTTCAACTCCTCATCATTACATTAGCCATTACACCACCTTTTTGCCTACTCTCAATGACATACTACACTGAATGACATACTACTAGGTTAGATGCTCAACTAACGGAAAACACATTTCTTCCTCCTACATGAGACTCAACAACCAGCATTGCTACATTTCCTATATGTATCACTTTTCTAACTGTAAAGTCACACTCCCTCATATCACATTCTATATAACTAAGGAACTTAATTACCCATATTTTCTGGTGTTACTAGTTCTGTGTTGTGATAACATACATTCTCTTGCTTTTGAGGATTCTCCTATTTGAGTCTACATGAATGAAAATATTTCCCATTCCTCTTATTTCCTAAAACAAATGCACCAATGCCTTGGCATCAGTTTCTTCTCTCACCCACCTCCATAGTCTGATACCCATTGCTGAATTGCCTGCATAATTAGCATGCAATATTTCTACACTGAGGCTTTTCTTGCTCATCGTATCCTTTTTACAAATCCAGACAGTGTTTTCAGGCCAGCTTAGGAAAAGGTAACATCTGAGTAGAATTCTGCCAAGACTGGGCAGCTCAGACAGTAACCACAGAGATCATGCAGGCATAGACAGATGCAACTTTTAGCAGCATTTAGCTGACCCTAAGTTGATTTTAAAAAGCTATGTAGGATTGTACCAGAAAATACTTAATTGAGAAAACATTAGAAAATGTAAGCTAGATGGGAATTGAGTGGAAAAGTATCCCCCATTTTGGGCAAGAATAGCAATAGCAAACTTACATATCACTTCATAGCGCTTTACAGCCCTCTCTAAGTACTTTACAGAGTCACCGTGCACACTTTGGCTGAGCCTGGCTGCTTGCTTGAGGAAGGTCTACCCTTGTGTGCACACCCTCCTGGCCCCGCCACAGCTGGCCAAGGAGTCGCAAGAGGAGAATGGGGGAGGAGGAGGGGGGAAGCCTCCACCAAAGCTTGTGCTCGTTCCTCAGGCAGCTCAGATTTCCAAAAAGAAGAAATAAATGGAGTATGAAGAGCCCCAAAGAGAGCTTGCTGGCTTGGCCCAGCCTTGGCTTTCAGAGAGAGGGGGGGGGGGGGAGGGAGGGAGGGAGAGGGAAGAGAAAGACGGAGAGATACAGAGAGAATCAGAGAGAGATACAGAGAAGAAGGAGTGGGGGAGAGACATAGAGAGATAGGGGGGAGAGAAGGGTTTTGTGGTTGGGTATGCATGGCTAGGGGGTCATGTGACTGGCTGGGAGTAAGTGATGTCAAGTGTTGTAGCTCCCAGGTTTTTTTTCTGTGGGAAATGGGTCCAAATGGCTCTTTGAGTGTTTAAGGTTGCACAGCCGTGTTTTAGACCATTGTGCATGAGCTGTGGTGGCAAAGTGGTTAGAATGCAGCATTGCAGGCTAATTCTGCTCACTGTCAGCAGTTCAATTCTCACCAGCTCAAGGTTGACTCAACCTTCCATCCTTCCAAGGTTGGTAAAATGAGGATCCAATTTGTTCAGGGCAATATGCTGACTCTGTAAACTGCTTAGAGAGGACTGCGAAGCGGCACATAGGTCTTATTGCTATTGTGTATGTGGGTGTGTGTATGTATGTGAAAGATGTGCAGATAGCATTTCCATCCAATTGGTTCAATAGGAACTAAACTTGTTCCTACCTCCCAAGAATTGTTGAAAAGCATTGGCTGCAATAGAAAATTGTATTAAAATGGATGGGGGCAGGCAGGATGAGGGAGAGTCTACCTTTCGTTTTATCAAACTGAATACAACTAAACGACTTAGGTCAGATCAGGTCCTTGTGGTAGTCAAATCATGGCTGATCGGAATGATTCGTCCCCAGGTGGTTTTCTGCCTAAGCATCACAGATCCCGGGATTAGCAACTTCGAGGTACGGTGCCTGTAAGCCTCTCTATAGGCAGGCAAGCGGCTCCCCACGAGCGCAGAAGCGCTGCCCGTCCCTTCCTCCATCGCTTTCGGCCAGGCACCGCTCAGCGACTACACCCCTTCCCTCCACCGCCCGTTGTTTACCACCGAGCTCCGCGGCGCCTCAGGAGTTAAAGCGGCCGAGATAGCAGAAGCAGATTCAGGTGGGTGGCCCGTTGCAGAGCCGGGCGTCCATTAGGAGGGAGAGCTTCTCGAGGGGAGGGGGAGCGCGCTCTCGGCTGGGGGGGGCGGGGGGAGCCGCGGAGAGGGAAAGAGAGGCGAGCGAACGCCTGCCGCCTAGGCGTTTGCGTGCGCGCGCGTGTTTGTGTGTGTTTGTGTGTGTGGTCACAAACACGGCTGTGCGCGCGGGGAAAGGGACGCGACTCTCTGCCTCTGCCTCCAACTGGCAGGAAAGGGAAGCGCGGGAAGAAGGGCTGGACGGCGGCGGGCGCTCTTCAGCCCTGGTCTCCTGAGCGCCGGGGTAGTCGTCGGAAACCTGGTCAGCTCCTAGCGAAACGACGCCCTCCCGGCTCAGGCTGCCAACTCCGGGGCTCAGTCGGAGGCAGCTGTGCGTGCTTCCTGGGCTTGGCAGCAGGTCGCCACTTCAGAGCTGCGGGGCTGAGACGGGCTAGAGGAGAGTCCAAGGGTAAGTTGAGCTCTTGCGAGGTGTATCCCCGGGTGCGGGGCATGTGTCCCTTAGGTGGCGGCTGGGAGAGCTGTACCGGACGCCGCCTTCGTCTCGCTTCGAGTCAGGCCGAAGGGGGAAGAAGGGATGGTGCGCGGCTGGCTAGGGAGAGCCGTCAGGGCTTGCCTGGTTGGGGTGGTCTTGGCGGCAGCGACGTTCCCGAGATTGGAGAGATTAGGGAAAGTTGGGATGCGGTTTCGGGCTTGGCATCAGAAATTCCCAAGTGAACCTCTGGGATCAATGCAGGTGGGAGGCTAACATTCGCGGCGGCTGTTGTGCTGCTATGTAAAACCAGGTGTGTCACTCGCATCCAAGCAATGAGGCCAAACTCCTGAGCCTGGTGCCTAGGAGGGAGGTCGGGGTGCAGAATCGCTTCCTCAGCGGTTGATCTGGTTTGCAGGATGCTGGTGTTTATTCTGGAGTAGCTCTGGGAGCCAGCAGCCCCTTCGGGGTTTTGGCAGATCCTGGCAAATCAAGCCACAGCCTTTGAATTACGTGCAAATTGGCTGTGGCTTGCATAGTACCTTCCAATGTACCAATAGTATCCTCCAATCAACCCCTTATCTCATAAACATTCGAGGAGATTTTTGGATCCAAGAAAAAAAAAAGGATTGCATTGAACAGCCTGTTACTTCCATCCTCGACCCAGGAGAATCCCCATTTTAAAAAAGGGAGAGAGGGAGAGGTGCTAGAACTCAAGGCATGGAGAGGCAACATAAAAAAATAGAAGCAGAAAACAAAAATCTGAAAAATGTTGGCAGAGGTGTAAATTGTGGAAGAAAAGTAGTGATAATGAGGGACCATCAGCTGATGCAGACAACAAGCCAAAGACCTGCCTTTTAATTTAGCTTCCACACCAGCAATCTCTGAAGCTAACAAACATTGGTGATGGCTGCCTATCACCATCCCAGACTCATGGAGAGCCAAGCTATGAACATGAAGCTGGAGGTGCCCAACAAAAAGCAGAAAGCAGGGTGGGCAGTGGGTCTGATCAGCTGAAGAGTTAGTGAGAACAAGTACAGAATGTTGAAAAAAGCTCATTAGTCTTTCTACAAAGTGCCCTTACCCCTCACTCTCCCAATCCCCAACAGCTCTGTTGTCATTCATTTCTCTTGCTTCTTCTATCAGCCCTACTCTACACCCTATCATAGCAAAGCTGTGTAATCATGTACACAGCATAACAAGAGAGGGAGTTGACTTACAGAAGGTTTCACATATAATAAATCTGTCAGAATCTGTAGCTTTTCCCTTCATTTCACTGTTAGATCTTGCAAACCTCTCCCGGTGTCTATGAAACAAACCTCCTTAGTAACCATAAATATATCTGTATTCCGGCTATGACAGTCAGATCAGTTGCCCCCATTTTTCTTTCCAGAGATTTATTTTTCTTTATTTCATCCTTTAATTAGCCTTGCTAAGAAATGTGAGTATTAAAGGCAACTGTTATCGGTTCTAGGAAATTTCTTTTCTTTTTTTTTCCCTTGTGATACAAGGGATAGCATGATCTCTCTTTTTAACCAAAGAGAATATGTATACGGCAGATGCTTCCCAATATAATGTTCAGAACAGAAGGAAATTGACCTAAATTCTACATTGGCTTTTTATTGCTTCTGTAAGACAGATTTTTATATATGCATGTATAAATAGTAGTGTGAGCTAAGCATTATCTGTGGGCATTATTGAGAGGAATAAAAGCTTAACCAACTTGCACTTGTTTTGTCATGTTCTCTGGATATGTGTGTACTTTGAAAATTTGTACTTTTAAAGGGTAAAATATTGAAACTCTCACATCCCAAGAAAGAAGTGAATATGAAGAGAGAGTATATGTTAGACTTCTCCTCCTTTCCTTCCTGTGAAATGTTACCTATGAGGACCTAATCTTTATGATTCAACCCACTTGTCAGCATGATGGCTTTCAGAACTTTGTATTGTATTCTTTGGGGTGTGGTGGGGAGCCACTATTCAGGTTTTGTCAAATGCTCATCAGGTCTCTGAAGGACCTTCTATCCTTGGCTCAAACTTGATGTCATCTACTCTTGTTCTGGCAGAAGAAATGCCTGTGATTCACAGGTAAAATATCTACATATTTTGAAAAAGGAGGGGCTTGGTCCTAGACCAAGAACAGGCATTTGAATGGAAATGGCTACTTAGAGGGAAGCTTCGGTACGGTGTACGTGAAACCTGCACTTGCATTTAATTTTTAATGAGTGTTCTCACGGTATATATGTAGCTAGAACTGCAATGGGACAGGGGTCCAGGGCTTTAATGTCTCCAAACATAATGCAGAGCATGGTGAATGATCTGAATATCAGCAAACAAGACTGATGTCATTATGGGAGTTGACATGGATATTCAGAGCCCGCTAGAATGAGTTGGGAGGAATACAGATTTAATAAATTGTTTATTAATATTTCCTGTTATAAGATTGTTTCTTGCAAGACTGGGAGAGAGAGAGAAAAGTAGGCATGTATGGGGGTTACAGATATTTATATTTCAATTCACATTATATTTAGTCCCCAGTAAGACAAAGGCTGTATAAAAGGAGTTCCCTTTTAAACCATTAACACTCCCCTCCATTCACCATTTAACACCAATGAGTTGATAGAATAGATGACAAACCTTTATACATGTTATAGTCCATGTCTGAGCACTGAAGAGCATGCATTAAAATGGCAGATACATAACAATAGGTATAATACTTCAGTCTGAAACTTTGAGTTTTTACTTCATTAAGTAGTATATATTCCATTTAGTTCATCTCCTGAAGGAAGAGAATTTCAATAAATTTTTTTTTTCCTGAAGAGTAAAGCAAGAATGTCAGCACCAAGAATCCTGTCACCAGAAAAACCCAGTGGCTAGATTCACTTAGGTTCAGAAAATAATTTCTTTTCTCTAACTGCCTCTGTTTTCTGAATGTTACCCCTATTTGATAGTTGGAAAGTGTTCTAGTCATCAAAACCATCCCTAACCTTAATGCTTAACAAATCCTTGCTCTACTTTATAATGATATATTGCAGTGTTCTTTTTAACTTCAGGTCTCTGTTCATCTTGGGGAAACTGACCTATTTTGAACTGTACTGTAGTCTTAACAGAATAACAGAGTTGGAAGGGACTTCTTTTAGTCCAAACTCCTGTTTAGACAGGAAAGCCTATACCAGTTTCAGACAAATGATTATCCAATCTCCTTTTAAAAACCTCCAATGTTGGAGATATGTGTGTGTGTGTAAGGAGGGAGAGGGAGGGAGGGAGGGAGAACACCAGGAAGGAGCAGGGCTTTTAAACTGCAGGTACATCCACTTATATTTCAAAATCTATATTGGAACTCGACTAAAGGTTGATAGCAGGTGTTATGGTTTTATGGCAAGAGGCGCCATAGGAACATACAATATTCACTAATACATTGGACTGGGTATCCAAAGCAGCAAAATAAAATAAAAATGCTATTACATTTTCAGTACATTTCGTAGTACAGCTCCAGGAGAATGACACAATGCAGACAGGGGTACTGATCAATGCCTCCTACTATTAGCATTGTACAAGCTTTTGAACTTTATGGAATTTAGCTTCAGGGGAAAAAGTAAACCAAATGCTTTATTAAATGCGAAGACTTAGAGTTACAAAGTGGCTGCGATATCTATTGTATTCATGTTGTGATTTTGATAGATTTCCCAGTCCTAGACAATGTATATAAGCAACGTTGTTCTACAGGCCTCTAATAATTTATTGAGCATGGATCCAAGTGTACAAGCACTTTACATATATTATTTGATTCTTGCTGTAGCCTTCTTGGAAAAACCAATTTCCATAGTATATATTACAAGGGACAGAGAATGAGGGGCTTACCCTTACTTCCCACAAACATGTATAGTCAAGGTGAAATGTGAACCAAAAATGTCTTGATTCACCACTGACAAATATATTGTAAAAGTTAGAAATTGGTTTTGTGAGAAATATTTTTTCTAATTCGGAAATTTATGAATCCACTGCAAGTTGAGCACAACCTCCTTTTGGAGATTGGGTTATTTTTAAAAATGTCTGGGCATCTTCCTTTTATAAGATAAGTTTGCCCAGTCAACCTTAAAATGACTCTGAAAAATATTGCTGCTAGTCATCTGTCAGATAATTGGCAGTGGATGTCAGAATCCATAGAAGTCTTTTGCACAGATGTTGATACTCCTGTTGAGATGACAGGATCCCTGAGAATAATATCATCCATGGACATGGAAATGATCTTTTCCATGAATACTTGCATTTAGGTACAGTCAAGTGGAAGTTTTAAAGCAAAACCTCTCTGTAATAAATTCTTACCACTGCTGTTATAAGGAGGAGAATGGAACCTTTAGCTGGAAGGAAGCCAAACTTATCTGAACTTAATTTGGTTGATGTGAAACAGAGCCCAAATTAACTCATTTGTGATGTGAACCCTTTCCAAAATTGAGCCTGAGGGAAACACAGTTGTTATTGCACCAGCTATTAATTCACCGTCTTCTCACCTTATAGTCAATCACATAGAAAGGAGGGGAAGTTGTACCATTGGCTCTGTTTCTAATCACAAGTTCAGCATTTAAAAAAAATGTTTTTACCAATATACATTTACATAAAGTTCTTCTGATTGCATGGTTAGGTATTTTGATAATGCCATAGTTTAAAATAATACATTCAGCCCAGTGGTGGGATTCAATTTTTTTTTTCTACCGGTACTTTGGGCGTGGCTTGGTGGGCGTGGCAGGGGAAGGATGCTGTAAAATCTCCATTCCCTCCGCACTCCTGGGGGAAGTTTACTGCAAAATCCCATTCCCTCCTCACCCCACTAACCTACTTTCCAGGTCCAGTCTTCTGTGCAGGGCAACAAAAGAAGACCCAGCTGATCAGCTGGGACTTGAGAGGCAGCGAATAGATGGGGGCGGGGCCAGTCAGAAGTAGTATTTGCCAGTTCTCCGAACTACTCAAAATTTCCTCTA